ACATGTAACATGGAACCTCAGGAACAAACCTCACTTCTTAAGGAACATTTCTCAGAACTCATTATTTGACTTCGGCTTCTCATCTTCCATTTCCCTAGTTTTGGATTGTTGAGGGGACACAAAGTGGTCTGACGTTCCTTGGCATTGTAAATATGTTCCTCTGCTTTAGCTGAATGCTATCACTACGTTTATTAGCAGCACAGTGTGGCGCTCTAGACCCCCTGAAAATCTGATTACTACTTTGCGTTGCCATTTAACCCAAAGGAGTAAAAAAATAAAAGGTAGAAGTGGGAAACACAAACATGCAAACGTCTATAGACTACACTACACACAAACAAACACACACAAGTAATAACAAAGATAAAACATAATTCCACTTAGCCTACCATGTTCTCCAGAGGCCCCATGACCAGTAGAATCCTTTCTCTTTTGCTTCGGATTTGATCTTGCATTGCTTATCTTCTTCCCAAGAAACATTTTTTGTTCTTTCCTCCAACTGCAGCAAGGTGTGCATCATTAGCAAAATCCACATATGCGAGGCCCTTCAAAAATCGATCAGAGGATATTATAAATTAGTATGCAATGGTCCCATACAGATGCTCTACAATTTAAAGGCAAGCTAGAATATGGGTAAGTCTGTATGGGACTATGGTTGAGTCTCCTAAGCATATCACTTGCTAGCAAAATGAAAAAATATGCTCTTAGACAATTAGACTCTTTATACTTAAAAAATTAAGCAATTTTACCATAATTATAGAATTCAACACTTCTGCAGGTTTATTTGAGACTGCATAATCGTCTCTGGAAAGGACATTCATCTTAAAACCAAAAGCGTAAGAACTAAATGATTTATTGACTGCATGAAAGGAAGAAATCAAATTGAAGTTTCAGTGAGCACCCTTGAGAAATTTGATCAAAGACAATGGATTGCAATTAGCAGTTTCTATCTCCCTGAAGCATCAACCATGCTGATTTCCCTTAAGCATTAAAATTAGTTTCTTAGGGCTAATTTTTGTACAGTCCACATTATGCATACATATGTTGAAGTTTAAAGGTCAGCCAATGTTAAATAAGGATTTGACTGTAAGACTGATGTGTACATGGAAGGTCTAGTGGATAGCTTCCCCCTTTTCACTTGAAGCATAAAGCACACAGAACATTGACAAATAACGAGTGAGAGAAAGAGAGTCATACCCTTGACTTTTTGGTGAACTTGTCCTATAGAATTCGAACAGATTCAACCCTACCAACATCGCAAAAGAATTTTTTCAGATCTTTAGAAGTTGCCTAGAAAAAATTTAAAACCATCAGAATTATCTCTCTGTATTTGCCTGTCCAACGTTAAAAAAGAATAAAAAGCAATCTCTGTAATGCCCACATGGAGGTACGTAATTTAATTTATGTTCTTATGCCTTTAGTTGATTTTTGCTAAGGTTATTTTAAGGAAAATGTGAAGAAAATGCCTTAAACTTGCATTAAGGGTAAAATGGTCTTTTCACTTAAAATTAGTTGAAATTGTGGAGATTGAAAAGAGATAGAATTTCATGGAGAATGCAATAAAAATGAGGGCATTATGGTAATTGACTAAGGGATATAGATGGAATTTTAAAGAAAGCACAAGGGAAAAATGGGAAACTATATATAATTTTTATGTTATATCGATTTGAAGAGTGAAACCCTAGCCACTCTTACCCATTTGCACGCCACTTTCACCTTCGTATTCTCTCAAATTCTTCAATTCTTCTTCAAAGGAAATTCAAAGGTTTTTGGTGTTTTTGAGTGGATTTTCAATCTTAAGCTTCTATAGGTAAGATCCCTGCACTAAGAAGTGAATTTTAGTTTTTAAAGTGTTGATTTTGATGGTTTATGCTCATAGGATTTAAAAGGAAGAGAGTTTGATCAAAGGAGATTCTTAAGGGGTTGAGTTTGCTCATATCAAAGGTAAGTAAATCCTACCCTAAGTATGATTTAAGTTATGTTCTGTAGAGAACTTTTTTTATGCATATATATGTGTTATATGTAGAATTGTTGATGGATTTGGTGTTGAATAATGATTAGAACCTATCCATGAGAAGTTGTGTTGGTGAAGTTATTATTTGACGAATGTTTGGATGAGATTTGGAGGAATTGAAGTGAAAATTTTGAAGTGTGTATTTTGGGCAGATTTGGTGTTAATTATGGAGGAGTTTATTCCAAATTTTTGGTGGCCTAAAATAGAGATAAAAGTGTAGCGAAATTAGTGTTGATTTGTGCACATAAATTGTTTGATGAAATGCCAAGGAGAAGTGCATGTATGAGTATGATTATTTGTTACCTTGGGATGTGTTTGTAGATGGTAGAGAAGGACATGTCTACATTCCATAATGCATAATCGCATTTAAATATGTTAATTTAGAAAGAATTATAAGCATGAAACCATCTACATGCATACATATTTATAAGAGCATGAAAATGCCCTAAAATATGTTAAAGAGAAAATAGAAAGAAAGAATAGAAAAGAAAGAAAGAAAGAATAGAAAGAAAGAATAGAAAAGAAAGAAAAAAAAAAAAATAGAAAGAAAGAATAGAAAAAATAGAAAGAAAGACTAGAAAAGAAAGAAAGAAATAAAGAAAAAGAAAATAGAAAACAGAACAAGAAAAATAGAAAAGAAAATGCATAATTTATGCATTTGTGCATTTGCATCATGAATATGCATAATACCATGCTCATTATCATGGGTAGTGAAAAATTTAGAAAACAGAGAGAAAAACAGAGAGCAAAACAAAGAAAGAATAGAGAAAGAACAGAGAGAAGAATAGAGAAAGAATAGAGAATAATTAGGAAATGTGACGTAAGGAAAGAAAATTTGGAATTTTAAGCAACGGAGAGAGAGAAGGGTAGCATAGTGGGTTTACTTACTGAGCCATTAGTGCTCACTCCGTTGTTTTTAATGTTTTGCAGGTAATAGGTGAGTTGCGGTCGCTCGGAATGTCACGCAGTGGAAGGGTTGGGCTACACTGTCAAGTTGCTATTTTTGAGAACATTTTGTAAATATTTGTATATAAAGAAAAATTAAATATGGGCCCATAATTTATTACTCGTATATATATGTGTATTTTCTTATATATATTTTTAATGAGTTTTAGTGATTATTTTACGAGTATACTAGCTAGAAAGAAAGCATTACAATCTCTCTCTGAAGTGCGAGAGAATCTCTACTTGTCCTGAAGTTAAGGTTTGATAAAAATGCAGTACACTCGTTAGTGTATACTTTGGCTTTTCCAGTGGTGGAGTCTTTGATGTGCTGGTCATTTGGATGCTCTTCAAACTTGGGTTTTGCTTCTTCTACTTCTTTTTCTTCAGCTAAGTTCTATGCTCGTCCCTTTTCTTTCCCATGCACTTTGTTTGGGTTTTGGGCAGCATTTTTCTGCTGCTTAGCTAGAGACTGGTCGTCAGTCATGTTTGAATCTGTTTTACTCTTTCCACTAACACTTTTCTGATGCGACTTCTCTTCTGATCTATTAGCTTAGGAACAGATTTGGCTTCCTGCTATAACCTAAATATTTTCAACTCTTCCAAGCGGGGTGTAATCTGAGAAAGGGAACAAAGACAAGCATCTTTACGCATTGAGTTAAAATAGCAAGGATTGCATACATTCAATAAATACCAAGCAAATGTATCATAATTCAGTAACATCTTTAACAATGTTACGTGACAACTTGACTTAAAAGCTTAAATTGATAGTTAAGCGTTCAACAACCATACTTAAAATTTAACACAATCTCGTGAGTTGACTAGCCACAATCACAACCATAAATATAACATAAATACATATAAAAGTTTATAATCTAAATATGAGCCTATTTGTTATAAATTTTAAATAGTGTTTTATTTTCGAAAACAAGGAATATAAGGAATTTTATGAAAATAGTTTTTATTAAAATAAGTTGAAATGTTTTAAAAAACAATGTTTTTGCATATAATCCTAAAAATTAGTGTAAAATTAGAAAACAAGAAAGATATAATTTCTCAGTCTTTATATAGTTTTTAATTTCAAAAACAATTTTTAATACCAGATATATTTTCAAATATTTAAAATATTGAGATAAAGCTTTTAAAATTTTTAATTGTAACTTAGTTTTTTAAAATTATTTTTGAATCACAAACCAAACTGGCCCAAATCTCATAAAGAGACTTAAAATACAAAATATATTTTCAAATATTTAAAATTTAGAGATTAAATTTTTTAATGGTAACTTAGTTTTTCAAAATTATTTTTGAATTACAAACCAAACTGGCCCAAATCTCATATAAAGAGATTTAAACATGAAATCAGGAGAAAACAAATCCTGATAATCTTTTTATTTCAATCTCTTAAACTAGATAAGACTTAGATAACGCTTAAATTGATCATATTCTAATCTAGAAATCCTACCACTCCCCCTCAAGTCGGTGAATAGATATTTATCATTCCGAGCTTGGAAACTAAATTAACAAACAATTGTCTAGGCAGTCCTTTGAACAATTGACCTGCTTCAAACTTGTTTTTCATCAAGTATACCCAACATATTCTAGTGTGACCATCAATAAACGTAATGAACCACTTAGACCCTACAATATTTGTAACTCTAGATTACCCCCAAATATCACTATGAATTATTAAAAAAGCCTAGAACTCTTATATTTATGAGCTAGATAAATAGACTTGGTGTATTTTGCAAGTTGACAAGTTTCACACTTAAAAGAAAATAAACTTTTATTTCTGAATAACAATGGGTACAATTTTCGTAAATAAGGAAAGCTAGGGTGTCCTAGTCTACCCTTATATCAGGCTATTGGGTTTCACAAAATACTCCACTACTTATGGTTTAAATGTGATTGCTTCATATATGCCATAATTTCATTAGAGTATCAATAACTCCAAAGTTGAAAGTTAAAAAAATAAACGCCATGGATTTTCGATCAACATGACCCCTACAGATACTGTCATATATCATTTACGTATGATTTGGAAAATTATTCAAAATGACATATTAAACCATTGTGATTCTGGTGCCCGAGTAACAGGTTGACCTATTGCAAGGCTACTCTCTAAAAATATTCTCAGCTGCAGAGCATGATTCTATATTAAGAGTTCAAAAGATCTCCACAAATTGCCCTACTTGATAAACAACATTTAACAACCTTGACTTAAGCCATTTGTCTGGTTTCAACTTCCATAAGAAACAAAAAGAGAATAAAGAAAGAAATGTTTGCATTGCAGATGACAAATATCAATTGATTAAATAAAGCTGCATCGTATACTACTAAAAGCAACAATTTTCAAAAAGAAAAATTAGGAAAAAACCAGTTTAGAAACTTTCAAATTCAAATTATGTCCATAAATCAATCTAGTATAATAGAAAGCAAGTAGTGTAAAAGAATTATACCTCTGAAGTTGTCCCACTAAATCTTTTACTGTAGCATCTCTTATAGATGGACCTAGCTTCATTTAAATGTCTCAATTCAATTTCCATAGCTATATAACCTTGCCAGACTTCCAACATTGACCTGCTGCATAGACAAAAAGCAAGTTATACGGAAAAAATACAAAGATGAATCATAAATCAGTCATATTGAACTGTACAAGATAAGAAAGAGAAAAGGATGAATAGGCCAAACCAGATCTTAACTAGGCTTTCCCAAACACCCAGAGCTGTAACCAAATTTAGCTCCAAACGAGCCCAATAAGCATACAAATGCAGCTAACCATTAGTATTCTTCATCTGCTGAGACAAGTAATCTGATGTGCGCTGAAAGGAAGAAACTACACAGTTAAGTATTCAAGTATATATAATACCTCCAATCATACAGAGCCTGCAATTTCGATGGTACACTAAAGAGACATCAAGCTAATTGTTTATAAACACAAATATTGAAGACAGCCATTACACAACAACGATATACCAGTTGAAAATGACATGCCTATTTTATAAATTCACAGATCCATAAAGATATCTTCCATGCATGCAACTCCAATGCTGACTAAGAAATTTTTTTAGCAAAGGACAATATTCCATGAGAAAACAATTAACAAAGGTAACAATCTAGCAATTAGCAAAAGCCATCTTGGAGTACCGAGAGTTATGTACTGTAATTTCTACATAAAGTGGTCATAATTGTACTATAACAACACACTAAATGAAGTAAATTAATAGACTTTTCTTCAGAGTCTAAGGGTAGAAGCACTTGATACACATTCGTAAGAGATCTATGCCTGGACCCCGAAAGAGTAGACTAGCTACAAGGCCCACATTTTCTTCATCCAAAATTCACCATGAATAGAGCATCTACAAATGTCTTAAGAAGCTTCAAGTTCTTGACAGCGAGTAAAAACAATTTTAACAAGAAAAAATGAACAGTATACATATGCGAACCTTTAAGGTTTCCTTTATCAATGGAAAATTCAGTTCCTAATCTCTCTGTTTTACATAATCCATTAATGAGGGAATTCAAACCTTCAATGCTAACTGCAATCTCATTATTTACTAGAGCATTAAACATTTCTAATGCTTCCAAAACACGTCCATTCTTGCAAAGCCCATCAATGAAAATGTTATATGTCCAAGAATTAGGAAAAGCATCATTAAGTCGCATCTCACCAACTAAGTTCCGTGCATCTTTCACCTTAGCTATAAGAAAAAAACTAGTTAACAAGGTCTTATATGTAATCACATTAGGCCTAATTCCTTCTGAAATCATCTCTCGATAAAGACTAAGAGCTTCATTGACTTCTTTATTCTTGCAATACGAGTTGATTAAAGTAGTGTAACAAACAACATTAGGCCTATACCCTTTTCGAGTTATAGAATCAAACAACTCCCTTGCATCACCAATTCTATCTGCCAAGCAATAACCGTTTATCAAAATGTTGTAAGTATAAATGTCAAGAACCATACCTCTCTTAATCATATGTTCCAACAATAGTTGTCTAGCCTTCTCAACCAATCCAGCCTTACAAAGACCATCAATTATAGTGTTATAAGTAACAATATTTGGCGTACAAATAACACCAAATTCTTTATTCCTTTTAACATCTCTTCATGAAACTTAATGGCAACACTTATTTTCTCTGTTTTACACAATCCACCAATCAAAGTGTTACAAGTGATCACATTAGGCCTACAACCTACAACAATCATTTTCTTAAACAATTCCATTGATTCCATAATCTTTCTATCTACACACAGACCATTAATCAAACAAGTAAATGTCATGGTATTTGGGCTAAAACCCAACTTCATAATCGCCCCAAAATCGCATAACCATCTGAAAACCTTTCAATATTACAGAAGCAATTCATCAAAATATTCAAAGATATAAAATCCAAAGACAACCCAGTTGAATTCAACAGCTTGTAAAGCGAATCACTTCATAATAGTGCTTCTTCTTAGCTAGTGCACTAAACAAAGTAGTGAATGATGAAATTGGAGAAATGGGTTTCATGTTAATCATGTAATAAAAAAATTACAATGCCTCATTCAGAGTAAAGCTACCTGATCGACAATTTTCTTTGAGGAATTTAGCAAGTGAGGATCGTTCAAGGGGTTTTTTGAAAGAATACAAAACTTCATTTTTGGAGCTTGAAGATGTGAGGTTGTGTAAGTGAGCTAACAAAAATAAAACATGTACTTTTAAAGATGGGTTTTGAGAGATTGACAACGAACGAAATAGGGATCTCAAAACCATGTATGAAGAGTGTTTTTTGAGGATCCGTTTTGAGGTTGTGTAACTGCATTTTTGTTGCAAAATGCAAATGCATTAAACTGATTAAAGAGAAATGTTTTGACAATGTTAGGGGTGAGAGGTTCAATCTAAACCAATGTCCTACATTTGAGATTGAAAAGGAACAAATGAAAACTATTCCTTATGCTTCAGTTGTTGGAAGCCTAATGTATGCTCAAGTCTATACTAGACTTGACATTGCTTTTGCAGTTGGCATGTTAGGAAGATATCAAAGTAATCTAGGTTTGGATCATTGGAGAGCTGCAAAGAAGGTCATGAGGTATCTTCAAGGAGCTAAAGGTTTCATGCTTACTTATAGACGGTCCAACATTTTAGAAGTCATCAGATATTCAGGCTTAGACTTCATTGGCTGTGTTGATTCCCGAAAATCAACATCCGGATATGTTTTTATGCTAGCCCGAGGTGTTATATCTTGGAGAAGTGCCAAACAATCTTTGGTTGCCACTTCTACCATGGGAGCTAAGTTTGTTTCCTGTTTTGAGGCCACTACACAGGGTATTTGGTTGAGAAGTTTCATTTCTCGGCTTGGAGTTGTTGAGTCTATCTCTAGGCCAATAAGGTTGTATTGTGACAATTCAACTACTATATTCTTTGCTAAGAATAATAAGTGTGGAAGTCAAAGTAAACACATCGACATTAAGTACTTAGCAATAAGGGAGCACATTAAAGCCAAAGAAGTGCTTATTGAACACATACGTACCAAGCAAATGATTGCTGATCTTCTAACAAAAGGCATGCCACCAAAGACGTTCAAGGATCATGTAGTTCAAATGGGACTACGTCTCGCTTTGTCACTATGAGAGGTAATACTTTCATTATTTGAAACTTTGTAATTTAGTTTGTTTTCTCTTTTAAGTTGTATACATTTTGGTTGGAGATAAACAAACATTCTGGAGGACCTGGATCAAACATTTGAGGTTTGTTCATAAAGTAAAATTCCACATTTAAGCATTTATTTAGAAAGAGAAAAATTGCATATTAATACATGGAAGGTAATACTTGTTTAAAAGGGACTTACCGCTATGATTCATGTAATTTTTATTTTTTTGATTAAACATACAGAATATACAACTCCTATGTTGTGGATTATATAATAAAAGTTTGGACCAAGTGGGAGAATGTTAGAATTTTAATTATATTAGAATTCTTTAATTGGATTGGTCTTACACTTTTAATATAAAGTAAATGGGTAATTGCTGAGCAGTTACATGTGGTTGTTTCTCCTGGGCAGTTGTCTTTGATGGAAAGACAACTGCATTTATAATGGGAGGGTTTACAGGTCCCCATTTTGATGCAATTAATTCATTTGATTCCCAAAAACCATCGCTCTGGAAAATTGCAGTAAGTGAAGACTCTGTATTATGAAGTGACAGAAGCAAGAAGACTAAAACAACAATTGCTATGGTTGGAGGTTTGTAAATTACTTCTGCAATATTTTATGAGTATTTAACATGTTTATAATTGATTATATTATGAACTTTTATATGAATGTTGGAATATGAATGTTGTACATTTGGTATTAGAGCGTTTATTTGAATCTCTACCTAGCATGAAATTGTTTGTTGCAAATTTGAAGAATATTGCATAAAATTGGGATTTTTCCAATTAAAACCGGCACTGTAAATCAAGCATAAATTTTATTATAAATAGAATCTGTTTTCGATTTTGGTGTCATTGGAATCCTTGTTGAAAAAGCTTTCCAAGGATATATTATTTGTCAAAAATGGAGTTACAGTTACAAAACTATGCCAGTTTAAATTTTCGGTTAAAATTATCGTTTAGGTGTTTTCAGTAGCCATTTACGACACCGATTTGGGACGAAAATGTCATATGGGGTGCCACTGACATAGGTCATACATCCACATTCAAGTTTCCCTTCTAAAAAATCGAAAAAATGGCTAGAATCAGGCTGTTCAAAACTATAGAAAACAGGTTTAAAAGTTGTAGAAACCGAGGAAAGAAGACCCGGTCAAACCGAATCGATAGGTCAAATCGACCCAATCAAGGATAAAACGCATCAAACTGACCCGATCAAAGTCATAGGTCAACATGGGTCATAATTGTGTTTACAAAAACATATTAAGGCAAAACCTTATGTTTTTTTTTATAAGAAAGAGAAGTTTGTCAATTACAGTGCTATTCTATTCAACATGTAACATGTAACCCCAAGAACAAACCTCACTTCTTAAGGAACATTTCTCTGAACTCATTATTTGACTTTAGCTTCGCATCTTCCACTCCCTCGGATTTTGGGTTTGTCGAGGGCACACCAAGTGGTATGACATTCCTTGGCATTGTAAATTTGTTCCTCCCCTTCAGCTAAATGTTACCACTACGTTTATTAGCAGCACAGCATGGCGCTCTAGACACCCTGAAAATCTGATTACTACTTTGCACTGCCATTTAACCCCAAGGAGTAAGAAAATAAAACGTAGAAGTGGGAAACACAAACATGCAAACGTCTATAGACTGCATTGCACACAAACACACACATGCACAAGTAATAACAAAGCTAAAACCTAATTCCACTAACCTAACATGTTCTCTAGAGGCCTCGTGACCAGCATAATCCTTTCTCTTTTGCTTCGGATTTGATCTTGCAATGCTTATCTTCTTCCCAAGAAACATTTGTTTGTTCTTTCTGACAGCTGCAGTAAGGTGTGCATCATCTACAAAATCCACATATGTCAGGCCCTTCAAAAATCGATCAGAGGATATTATAAATTAGCATGCAACGATTCCAGACATAGGGCAAGCTGGAATATGGGTAAATCTGTATGGGACTATGGTTGAGTCTGTAACGCCTAGTATGGAGGTACATGATTTAATTTATGTTTTTACAGCCCTTAGTTTACTTTAAGAGAATATGAAGAAAATGCCTTAAACTTGCATTAAGGGTAAAATGGTCTTTTCACTCAAAATTAGTTGAAAAAGTTGGGAGTTAAAAGAGACAGAATTTCATAGAGAATGCATTAAAAATGAGGGCATTATGGTAATTGACTAAGGGACATAGATGGAATTTCCAAGAAAGAGTAAGGGCAAAATGGGAAAGTGTGTTTATAAACTAAAGTGTTAAGGGTTTGAAACCCTTATTTTCTTCATTCCACCGCCACACTCCTCCCCCATTTTCTCTCAAATTTTCATTCAATCCTCCAAGGATTTTGAGGGCTTTTGAGTGGTTTTTCATAGGGTTTTGATTTTAGGCTTCAAGAGGTAAGGATTCTTGCTCTTTATCTATGTTTTATTTGTGTAAAAGTTGAGTTCTTATGGAGTTTATGCTTAGGGTTAAGAGAAGATTTGAATCCAACAAGAGTAGNCTCATTCCCATAATCATCCATTATTGCTATAACATTGTAAGCTAATGCAAACAACACATCAACACTTCTAATAGCAACCATTCAACACCATGTGGCCTCCAATACTACAATTTTTGCCACAATCAGTATCCACACTTCATTTTCTTCAATCAAACATCACAACTCATAAAACATAAATAGCAATAACTTCATGTATAATGAATTCAAGGCAATAAGTAGAATAAATGAGTTCAACTACACTTGCCATCAACTAATTCTATGCCTTAAAGCTTTAATTTAAGGTTTCATAAAAATCTACAAACCCTAGCATAAACCCTAAAGTCATGGGAGGTTCTTCCTTACCTTTTTAAAGACTTCCTCCAACAAATCCTTTGCCTTTGACTTCTTTTACACCTTAATCCTACATATATAACATTATACCTCAACATCTACTTCAAATCTTCAAATCACATCAAAACTAAAGTTTTTAATCCTTACCTTAAACCCTTCAAATTGAAGATCCAAGGCTCCTATCTTGTTCTCCTTGAAAAATTATGCAAAACTCCTTGAAAACCTAGAGAAAGAAAGCTTGTTTCATGGAAGATTTGAGAGAAAATGGAAGAAATGTTGAAGAAAGGCTCTCTCCTTTGGCTTGAACGAATTTCATCTCATTTATAGGAAAATATTTCATTTATTTTCCAAAATTATGCAATTGGCCCAATTATTTTAATTGTATAACTCATAAGTCCTTAATTCTTCATATAAGGGCATTTTGGTCATTTCACACTAGACATAATTATTACTTAATTAATGCCATTAAATGCAATGAAGCCTACTCATCCTTGACTTTTTCAATGCTTATCCATAGGCAAAATAACCATTTTGCCCCTAAGCCTCTCTATGGATAATTGATTCATACCGTTCCACATGAATTGACTATTTTGCCCTTAGTTAGATTTTATGCTTTTTAACATAAAATTAACATCTAAAGGACTATTTTGAGTTAGGAACATACCTTTGATATCTTGGGTATTACAAAAGCAATACAAATGCATCATAGACATTAGACTAAAAAAAGAAATACGTGATTAGTTGGCACCTAAAACAAATCAATTAAAACTGCAGCAGGAACGTGAACCTTCTGTCCAGCATGGTCAAAATCTTCCAGTGTCTCGTATTCCCTCTCAAAACGAAACCAGTTGTGGCATATGCCTTGAATAACTCTGTTTTTTAGGAAAAGAATATCTCAACAAATCCAAAAGGCAGTACATAACAATTGAAGAAAGTCACCCAAATCAATATTTTCAATATCATAAAATCAAGAAGCAAGAATTGTCAGTAGCTTTAGATGATGTAGTGAGATCATCAATGCGATCATATAATATGAATGGGAGTGGGAGTGGGAGTGGGAGTGGGAGCAAGAGCATAGAGTTGGGAAACAATCCGATTAACTATAATAAGGCCAATCAAGATAAGATGAAAATAACAAGGTTAACTTTATCAAACTAAACCCTAAACTGATCATAGAAAAGAGACAACTTAGATGACGTTATGATAGGTCATATAAATTATTTACATCAACAAGTTTTATTTAACCTATAGCATATTTTGACATGAAACTCAGAAAGTAAAGCTTGAACTAAGAAGCTTTTCTTCAAGCATATTGGAAAAAATAAGCCAAGTGGAAAAAGATATAAGCCTATTGTGTTTCAAAAACTACTCTGCTACCTATGGTTTAAATGTGATTGCTTCATATATGCCACAATTTCATCAGAGTATCAGTAACTCTAAAATTTGAAGTTAAAAAAATAAACGTCATGGATTTTCAACTAGCATGATCCCCAGAGATACCGTCATATATCATTTACGTATGATTTGGAAAAATTATTCAAAATGACATATTAAACCATTGTGATTCTAATGCCCGAGTAACAGGTTGACCTATTACAAGGCAACTCTCAAAAAAAATTCTCAGCAGCAGAGCATGATTCTATGTTAAGAGTTCAAAAGATCTCCATAAATTGCCCTCCTTGATAAACAACATTTTAACAACCTTGACTTAAGCCATTTGTCTGGTTTCAACTTCCATCAGCAACAAAACGAGAATAAAGAAAGAAATGTTTGCATTACAGAAGACAAATATCAATTGATTAAATAAAGTTGCATCATATACTACTAAAAGCGACAATTTTCCAAAAAAAACAAAAAAATGAGAAGGAAGGAGGAAAAAACCAGTTTAAAAACTTTCAAATTCAAATCCTATCCATAAATAAATCTAGAATAATTGAAAGCAAGTAATGTAAAAGAATTATACCTCTGAACCTACCCCACTAAATCTTTTACTGTTTGGACCTAGCTTCATTTAAATGTCCCAATTCAATTTCGATAGCTATATAACCTTGCCAAGTTTCCAACATTGAACCGCCACAGACAAAAAGCAAGTTATATGGAAAAAAAATACAAAGATGAATCATAAATCAATCATATTGAACTATACAGGATAAGAAAGAGAAAAAGATGAATGGGCGAAAACCATATCTTAACCAGGCTCTTCCAAAAGCCCCGAGTTGTAGCTTGATCTTTTCCCAAATTTAGCTCCAAATGAGCCCAATAAGCGTACAATGCAACAAACCATCTGTATTCTTCATCTGTTGAGATAAGTAATCAGACGCCCGCTGAAAGGAAGAAACTTCATAGTTAAGTATTCCAATATATATAATACATCCAATCATACAGGGCTTGCAATTTCGATGGTATACTAAAGAGACACCAGGCTAATTTTTTATAAACACAAATATTGAAAACAACCATTATATAACAACAATTTGGGAAAATGAAAACACACATTTGTAAGAGATCTATGCCTGGACCCTGAAAGAAAGGACTAGCTACAAGGTCCACATTTTCTTCATCTAAAATTCACCATGAACAGAGCATCTACAAATGTCTTTGAGAAGCTTCAAGTTCTTGACATCAAGTAAAAACAATTTTAACAAGGAAAAATGAACAGTACACATATGCGAACTTGAAACGTTTCCCTTATCAATGAAAAATTCAATGCATCCTCTTCTGCTCTAGGCAAAAGGATTCTTTGTTTCAAACCATCCACTCGAGTGAGGAATAAGTTTAGGTATTAAAGCAAAGAGGATGCAATTAACAAAGATCTTTAATGCATAAAACATAGATGAAACAATAACAAGTTACAAAGAGTTCGACAAAATGCTTGAACCAAATCCCTCACTCCCAAATAACAGCATACCGCATCCAAACCAAGCCAACACTTTAAATACTACCTCCACCACCTCCCAGTAGCTGCAAACTTCTAGAAATTTGGGGAAATCCTCATGGATTGGAGATTTGGAGCCATGGATGGATGACAAGTATTTGCTATCCACTTTCTCAAATGTGGCAATTCAAGGAGCCAAGGTTTTTTATCACAAAAACTCTTCCTTTGGTTTTCTTGAGTTTGAATCTAATGATAATGTAGGTGCGTCATTGCTATCTTTTAATGGCTTAAAAATGGCGAAGTCTAAGAAGCTTTTCAAGCTCAATTGGTCGTCTTCAAAGCCCTGGGAAAAAAAGTCAGTTTCAAAGCCAATTTTAGAAAAGAAAAGTGTGGGTAAGAGCACATCAGAAGTTTCCTCCTCTTGGGCGGATAAGGTTAGAGTGACAGAGGTCGGGTCCCTTTTCACCCTTGAAGTTATGGACCTTGATATTAAGGATGACATCTTACATATCCCAGATGATGTTATTGATGATAATGATGTTGAGTGGCTTCACTGTATTGTGGGTTATTTCCCGGGGTATTCTATGCCATTTCATGCTACCCGCTCAATTGTTTTCCGTGCATGGGAAGTTACGGGTTTGGAGGATGTTATGTCCACTAGTACTAGTTTCTTTATCTTCAGATTTAGGGATGAGGATGCGGTGCATTTAATCCTAGAGAAAGGGCCGTGGATATTTGGGGGCAAGTCGATTGTTTTGCAACAATGGCATGCTCAGTTTTCCTTTGATAAAAGTCGCATCTCTAAGGTTCTAGTATGGGCTCGTTTGCATGGGTTGCCTTATCCTTTATGGTCTCACAAAGGACTTTGCATGGTTTCTTCT